TATACAGGTAAACCTGAAACAACACAAAAAGACCCGAAACCCAGTCAAACTGGGAATCTGCCCGTTGGTCGACTAATCCTTGACATCAGTCAACCGGCAAGCTCATATCGGTCGACTGATAATAGCCATCGGTCGTCCGACCCGATGCTACAAGCAGTTATCAGGTTTGCTGGTATGATCGCACCTGTCGCTCGACTGAAGGCTTGCCATCCGTTGACTTATGATCTCCTATCAGTCGACTGATAGGGAAGCATCAGTCACCTGATCCGAGGCATTTTCCAGCCTAGAGATTTTTGCTTGCGTGCATGTTTTCACTTGTTTTGTGCATGTTTAACACTTGTATACTCTCATGTATACACTTAATTGATCTCAAATCAATTTCTAACATACTCATTCATCCATAAATGATATTTAACATAATATAACTTATTTATTACTATTTACCATAGTATTTTCAAAAATTACGGGGTTTTACATTAAATGAACCCTAATTCTCTATAATATTAAATAATATTGATTTTACTGCTTTCAGGATTGCAAATAATACTCGTGTATATATATATACTAGTTAGATTGCACGTGCAATGCACGTGGTAAAGTTTTCATTTTTTGTTTAAAATTTTTAATTTTATTTTTAATGTTTTGTTATAAAATTATGGAATGTAAGTAATGGATAAAACATATAGACATAATATAAATATTCATCATTTGAACAATTAAAATATATTTATTTATTGATTGGTTGGCCAATTCAAATTTTTAAAATGGTTAAGGGCTCACATTAAATTATCATAAGTTAAGTATCGTTGCAGAACACAATACCGATTAGATATAAATTAAATGGAACACATTTGGACGTTCGAGAGAAACTTATAAGAATGTAAAAGAATTACAAGTTAAGAAGGCGAACAGCCGTCATCTACCAACAATGCATTTTTCCCCTGTATTTAGGCAGTTGCTTTCACTGTGATGTAAGCGTCCAAACATTATATATGCATTATCAGTCTTGCTCTCAATACAAATGTTCCACTCGATGACTGACTAAAGCTACTAAAATGAATGATTAATATTACATTTGAGATGAGTAATACAATGTTAGAGGTTATCCGTCGATTTCTTCTTGAATTGGATGTCTTCAATAGTACCTTGAAAGTACGCTTTCCACAAGATAAGCCGAAAGCCCAAGCATGCTGTCAAGCCAATTGATCCCTTGATGCACCTTTTGAGTTTTGAGGAAATAAATCTATAAGTTGTCCTCTAATTCATCCGGGAGATGTAATTGAAAGTCCTATACCGTGCAGAGAGTTGATTGTGCCGAAGAAATATCAGGCAATCATTGTCTTCAAAATGATGAACAAGAAAATATATACTGTTGTTTTATGCCCTTTCCCACATATCCTCCCTAAAAAAAGAAATAAAAAAGGAAAATCAAACACAAAGACACAAATAAATATATAGAGGACGAAAAGGAAGGTTGGTGGAGTATATAGGTAAGATGGTCCCGTTATTATACTTGTACGATACAATGCTCATAAACATATAATTAATTGCACTTAAAGTAATAAGTAACCTGGCCAAGCATTGCAGCTTCCGCATCTATTCCGCCAACTCCCCAGCCAGCAACACCTAACCCATCTATCATAGTTGTGTGGGAATCAGTACCAACAACACTGTCAGGGTTAAGCATTCCTTCATTGTTAAAAACAACTCGTCCAATGTATTCCAAGTTCATCTGCAAGACAGGTTAAGAACAACGTTTAGATTATGCAACCATTAATTATCATAAACTCGTCTGAGATTAAACTCTTAACACGACAGCAGATCAGATGCACCCTTCATGAATGATGTAATATAATTACATGGTGGACAATACCAGACCCTTTTGGGACAACAAGCATATTATTGAATGCATTGGAACACCATTTTAAAAATCCAAATCTTTCCTTGTTGTGTTGAAACTCAAGTTCCATATTTGCCTGAACTGCATTCGCTGATCTTGCCACATCAATCTGTACTGAGTGATCAATAACAAGATCCACAGGAACCTGCACTTAAATGTTAACCCTCAGATAGTAGCTAAGATAGTCAACACGATGGAACAAATTACACACAGGCCAAATATGTGCATAATTTTGCTAATATAAATAATAGTTCCAAATGTTACAACAATAATGGTATTGCTATGGAATCCTTACAATTGAAGTAACGCGTCAAATCATAAAACAATTTGTTTCTTCTATTTCAGTTATTTATGCCTCCTCATAAAGTTTGGCCACACATAAATGGCTTAATAAAATAAAGTGTTATAAACAGAGAAAAGAAAAAAAGCTCTAATTGTGGAGTATACATGTACCATAGCTAAGATAAACACGCCAGCATAAGGAAATAATTTCATCAGTTTCAACAATTACAAACAGATAAATATCGACATACATGCAGAGATTACAGAAGAATATATTGTATAAAGCATAGAAACAAGTGATTTTGCGTCAAGGGACCCAACAACTTTTTAAAGCAGAATATAATATTTGAGCAGACCTTTCCATGAACAATCTTCCCACTGCAATTTTCCACTGATCAGAATATCATAAGATGTTCTTCTACAAAAAGTAAAGGTGGAGAGAATTAATTTTTTAAAGCAGAATATAATATTTGAGCAGACCTTTCCATGAACAATCTTCCCACTGCAATTTTCCACTGATCAGAATATCATAAGACGTTCTTCTACAAAAAGTAAAGGTGGAGAGAATTAATGTAAGGTGTACCGCAGAACCGAGTAGAGCATCCAGTAAGTCCTCATCAGCATAGACACAATTGCCTTCAGTAGAATTACCAATCAGGTAAAGATGTGTCTTGATACCTGACATACACCAATTCTCTGTAGTACATTAAGATAAAGCATCAAAATGCTCTCTGAGATGTAATTAAAAAGATTAGCCTGACTTTGAGCTCAATATCAGATAAAGTACTATAACTTGGCATTAAGGGTTATTCATGCTATCACATGATAATCAAGTGAAAGATAAAATTTATTTTCCAACACTGAATAGATGTTATCAAAAGAAAGGAGTACCTCTAATGCAACATCAAGGGCATTTGAACCAACAGGATGAGCACTCAATTCTGCCAGGTACTTAACAAGGTGCATTGATGAAATTTCCAAGTAGATGGATCCTCTGCCACATAACTTTGTAAAGTTCATAATTTGTAAAGTGCTGCTCCTTAAAGAAATCAGTTCCCTTGATGACGAGCCGATGAAAGCTACTACTCAAAGCATTGCCCCAAAACACAAGGCATTGACATCATTAATACAAAGTCATGATCAATCTTTAAATGTCCTGGTTAGGGACAGCTTTAGCTGAAAGTGTTGGTTACTGCACTGTATTTATAAAACTAAAAGTTCAACAGAAACAGAATGACAAATTCATCAAGCAATCTAAAATAGGTCCAAGTCATTAAAAGAATCAATCTTTCAAAGATCTACAAACTGTACACAGAGTCTTGAGCACTTTCGAATACACCGTAGGTACACTTAAACAATAAAAAAAAGAAAATATGGATGAAAAATACAGTTGTTTGCCTGCTGCTGTCTAAAATCTGGGTTTGAGCAGCAGTAAAGCCTTCAGTTTGAGTGTCAGATCAGTTGTAACCAAAAGGACGAAGCGGTTACAAAAGAATGAGAGCAAGTAGACTTGAATTACCTCGAAGAGTCTTCAAGTACATCTCATTTGTTTGAAGGTAGCCTGTTCCTTATACTGTTGGAGTATTTGGAATCAGGATTATCGCTTTTATCGGTATCAGAATTCTCGCCTCTCTGCAACTCAATATCTGAGCTCCCTACTTGGGTCCTTCTATGTATTTGATCCTGTAAACTCTCGGAAGGATTCATTTCATTGACATAAAGTATTAAAATACCAAGTTATTCATCCTATTTCGTAAAAGATTAAAGGGGAAAATATCCTTAAAAGCGCTGTAGAATATCACATAGGGAGGAAGTAGATAGTGACACGGACTCATCAGTGCAGGTAGTAGACAATAGGGATATCAGTGAACGTAGAACATTATTTTTTCCTTTTATTAAGTCGTCAAGTAAAAGATGGGTCCGTAAGTAAAACCATCAGATTGTTTTATCTATATTTTAGATAGTCATGATGTAATTTCTAGACTCTAGTTATATAAAATGGAGTTGCAGAAATTTTTTACTTTAAAAACTGCCTTCTCAGCCTTTTCTTATTGCTTGAGGACAATAAATTGGTATGGCACATTCTCAATCAATAAAATGGATGCATTGGTCTAAGTTTGTAACATATAAATATTCTCCAAGATCAGACAGGATGCAATGATAATATAATACTTGCTTGGAATTTACCTGAGGAAACAGGAACACCTTTGTAGCACAATCAGAGGACAGGAAGTTGAACACGACATTGTTGTTTTTCTGTAAAATAGTTCATATTTCTGCTACTAATCCAACAAGTGATTCCAAGTTCTGGCTTGTAAACAACAATGTTTTAAGAGGATAATTTGCAAGCTCAGATATGGTTAGTAATTTGTTATACTTGCAGTCATATACATTGATAACTGTAAGAAGTTCCACCTGTAAAGGGTTTGCAAAGTAAGCAGCCTGTTCCACAGGTAGCAACAAACTGTTAGGTTTTTGGTATATAATATTAAAAGTCAATATTCTTTAACTGTCAAAAAGAAAAAGAAAAAGAAAACAGTGAGGGAATTCCTATGATATGGTAAAGAGTGTATATCATGTTTTGTTTGTCAAGCCAAAAAATAGCCAGACTCAGCTTATTCTTATTTCTTACCTGTCCTCAATGTCGTGCTCGGCATTATGAATCCTATAAGAATAGTATCGTAATAACATCCTATATCATAAAAGGTTTCTCAAAGCACTCCTTAAAAAAATTCATCCTTGTTCTCTTAGGTCTCTCCTTCCACTATTCTCAAAAAAAATTTCTAAGCACAAATCCAAAAAGTTTGTGTTCAGATCAATTAGGAACCCCAAATGCTGACTTCCTTAGTAAATTACATATGAATAAGAAAATTAACTAACGCGGTCAGTAAAATACCTGTAATTATGCATAATCTGGAGTTGTCGAAGAACTTTTCAAAAAAAAGACCTTTAGGGAGCAATTACTGTTTTCCTTTGCAAACCGTGAAAACAAATAGAACATATCCTTGTGGAAAAACGCTGTAATTCGCTTGGTATCATAAGGAACCAAAAAGATATGCCCATACTCGACGTGATTCAACTTAAATAAATGATCAGAGTAAATGACAGCATGAAGTAAAACACTTTGACATACAATCCCTATTCATGAGCAAAACAAACCTCAACATATACTCGTATTAACCAGAATCAAGAATCCATGCATAGGAATTGCAGCCGAAGGAATAAGTTGACTTTGACAACTCTCCTTTTCTCCACTTGCAATGCAAAATAGAAGATTCTCCCTGAGAATTTTCATAGGAGTTGGGTTCCCAGGTCCTTTTGCAAATGTATAGCGATTATGGAATCCAAGAAGTAGAATATATATTTCTACAAGGAAAAAAAATTTATTGTGTTAAATTATTGATTTTATTAAACATAAGTATAGCAGTGAATATAATTTGAGAGAATAAGTATATTTTATTTGATGTTCATAGTACTTTAGTTTTTTTTTTAATTTTGGTACACTATACATGCATTAGTAATCATAAATATCTCATATGCTAAGGTTAATTCTGTTTTTTTAAGTCATATAATAATAATAATAATAAATATTTAAGTGTAGAAGAAGATAAATACAAGGAAATAGAGTTATCATCACTATGAACGAAATAAAGAGAAAAGAGAAGAAAGTTGCTTAACTAACCTGAATCATCATGAACGATCTTTTGATGGTCATTTTGGAGTATAATTTGTGGTATATGTTCTTCAATCGATCACGTTCTCTAGGATCTTCGGATTGGAATAGTGTAAGTAAATTGAGAAGAAAAGGGTTGCCGATATGCGATTGAAGGGATGTAGGATCAATATTGGCAATTAAAACAGAGAGGGTTTCGTATATAATATGTAAATGTGGCCATAAAGGAGAGAAAACTATTGGAGGCGCATCATCATCGAAGGAGTATTCAGAGGAGAGGAAACGGGATGCCTGTGATGTTATCTGTTAGACTCGGTCTTTTATTTTCTTAGTAGTGATACAATCCTGTCAATTTTAATATACCCTTTGCGACTATTATTGTCTACGAAATGAGTTTTTTAGTGTTGGGTATCGTATCAGTACTATGGCAATATATGTTGAATGTTTTTAGCAAGCGATGGCTTGTCGATAAAGTGTTGCTATAGAGTTATCTCGTTTCACTTGATCCTGATATTAGTTTGATTCTCTGGGATATTTTACTGTCTCGTGCGTCTGTCTATATATGATTAAAGTTACTTTTTTTCTATAACTGTGGTACAAACCACACTGCCAATTTCATTATGGCCCATAAATCGGTGTTGCGTTTAATCTGTGCATCTTGCGGACATTTTTTGACATAACCCTATAGGTTAATATTCATGAGACAAACTTTGAATTTTATTTCTAAAACATCTGTTTTATATTGCTAAAACATCTGTTTGATGCTCGCAAATACTTGGGGCAGACAATTATATACATCTTGGACACTTATCTTTTTAGGGGGCACTTCATTACTTATATCATGGAGCAATGCATCATTAGTTATTATGCTTCCAACTATGCTGTTAATTATGTTATTATTGCATTAAAAATCTTATTGATCATTATTTACTGATATTTCTACATGGGACTTTTGTTGGTCATATATCCAGTGGGTTGGCAATGTGTTCGCACAACTATCATTTTTGAATGCAACTATTACATAATAGGATAGCAAACTATAGATGATAGTTATAGCTCAAACAAATATGTAAACGCATTCCAAAATGTCATATGTCGAGGTGCAAATCATCAGATTCATAATTTTAAGGCCAATTTCAGGCAGTGTATCCTGAACAGAGCAAGCATGCATAAGAATTCAAACGTAGACAATTAATAGCTCGAGGTATATACCGTTGCCATTTCACACTTGTTTGTTGAATACGAACAATAGATAAAGACTAAATTAACCAGACAGGAAAAATTAGAACAGATGAGAGTCCAAATACAGATGGATTTCATATAGCCAACACGCAGAATATTGTCATAAGCGATTGTGAAATTAGAACAGGCAATAAATCTAGTCAACAATATTCATTCTAACTTTTACCTGATCAATTTTTTTTTCTTAAATGAATGTCTTATATATTAATTTATGTGATGACTGTGTTTCAATTGCCAGAAAGAATATTACATGGCATTCAAAATCACAGTCGCAATTTTTAATAAGATGATCAATCATATAGCATATAAAATCATACTTATAGGTATTAATGCTTGAACATGAACAGAGTTGCCTAAAGTACGACATGAAACTGAAACATTTAGGGTAGATCCTAAACTGTGTCATCACTATTTCATATATAATACATGGCTTACCTGATGAAACTGACAAAGGAGCAATATGAAGACTTGAAGCAAGCCCTGATTCGGACAATCCTTGACCTATTGTTGAATTAGAACAAAAGGAGATGATGGCTAATTAGAACAAAATTAAATTAAATGAACACAAAAAAAGTAAAATTATTCTTACCGATGCCAAAATTCAGACAACTGAGGAGATGATGGCGGAGGCGCAGAGATGATGATTAGGGCAGTAACAATCAATTTTGGAAATTTATGGCTTAAGATCGTGGGACGGCGTAACGTAAGAACTGAGAGAAGGCGGAGAGAAGGCGGAACCGAAGGAAGATTTAGGGAAACGGATGAACTGGTGAATTGATTTCATCTTTAAAAGATGTAACGGAAGATTGGATGGGCTGAGGAGAAGGTGGAGAGGAAGAACCGAAGGAAGAATTAGGGATTTTGATTTCAGCTGATGTTGTAAGGGATAGGGTTGGTATATATTATTTCGGTTGAAGGTTAATTTGGGGAGGGAAAATTTTTCCAGTAACTCGCTCTTTTAAAGGGTAATAGATAGATTAGTTCCTCAAATCAATGTTATTAGGCCCCTAATTCCTTGAGTTACTTTGAAGCGTCTCAAATGATTGAAATTGCTATTATTAGTCCCCTAAGTCTTGAATTATTTTGAAATTTGTCCTTAAAATCTATAGTAGAAATTAGCAATTAAAAAGAACTTAAAAAACCAAATCGTGATCTAATCCTACCACGATTCAAATCCAAAATAGCCTATTCTAAAAAATCTAGATATCCCACTCCAATCAAATATCCTATCTAAATTAATAAAATGGTTTTTAAAATTGAAGGCAAAAAGATACTTTGATTTTGAAAGTCTTTTCATATAACAAAGTTTAGATACTAATAATCACGATAAAAAAGTTATATGTGAGCATATTTAATTATTTATTTTTAAACCCGCTTATCAAAAATCCTGACTCCGTCACTATCATTGGACATTTGGACCTTTAAGCCAATTAAGATCTGCGAAGAACTAAACTTTCTCTAAACTCACTTAGTGATAGCCAACTCAAACAAGTTAGAACTTGGTTAACACCCTACGATTTTTATTTAACATCTTGACCTAAAAATTATTTAATTCAAATAATTTAATTAATCACAAAACTTTATTTATTATTATTTTTATCGAATTGTAATAAAACTAAAGGAAAAAACTTCCCTATATTATTTCACAACCATAAAATTAAA